AGCACATGCACCGAGGCGCCTTACGCCTCGGCCTCGCTCCGCGATGCGACGCGCTCTTCCGCAAGGGCGGCTGGCTGGCGGAGGATCCGGCGCGGGCCCCCGCGGCTCCGCCGGGCTGGCGCGAGTACTGCGCGACCATCTGGAGCAACCCTCGAGGAGCCCTGCGGGCGCAGGGGCTCCGCCTCGCGCGGGGCTGCCTCCTGGAGCACGCCGCGGGGGCGGGCGCCGTGGTGGTGCCCGCGAACAAGGGGCTCGTGGGCCCGGCGAGGCCAGAGTTCTGGATGTTCGCGTCTCACGCTGGCGGCTCGGTCGACGAGCTGGTGCACCGGGCTGCCGGCCCAGACCTGCTGGAAGCATGCGGCAGGGTGCCAGCACGGGGCGGCATACGGTGCGCGGTGGGGAGCGCCGTCGCCACGCCCGGGACGCATCTCTTCCTCCCCCGCGGGCACGTCATACACGCGGTGGCACCCGTCTGGCACGCCGCCGAGACGACCGGCCCCGCTCTGGTGTCGGCGTGGCGCGCGGCCTTCGCGGAGGCGGGGCGCCTTGGCGCCGCGTCCCTGGCGTGCCCGGCGCTCGGGTGCGGGACGAACGGCACGCCCCTGCGGCTCGGCGCGCAGTGCTGCTTCCTCGCGTGGCGCGGCATGCGCGGGGCGGGGCTCGACGTGACCGTCGTCCTCGCCACATTCGAGGCGTGGCAGGCCTGGACGGACGTCGCGTTCTTCGAGCGGGGGCGCGGCCTCAGCGCTGCGAGAGGCAGTGAGCCGCAGGGTGGGGGCTGACTCCCGCGAGGGCCCTGCGGGGCTTGGTGCCGCCTCGCCGAAAAAAACACCCGCCCGACGTCGTGTTTTTTTTTGTTCGTTGCGTTGACCCCCCGAGGTCTGGACCCCTTCCCCGGGACCGATTCTGCATCCCGAGTGGTTCTGTTGACGGCCCCGAGGCCCGGCAAGTGCCCGAGAATAGCGAAACACCTCCCGTCGTGATTTTTCCGCGACGCGAGGGGAGTCCGGGCTCCCCTCCCCCCTTCCCTCCTTCCAGTGGGGCGCGTGGCGCCGCACGCAGGCGGTGTTCGGCCCGCCCGGGCTGCTGCTGTACGGCGTCCAGGCAGCCCCGGAGCCGAGGGGCTCCCGCCCGCTCGCGCGGCGGGGGAGGCCGGCGCGCGGGTGGTTCGCCGAGAGAGAGGGCTGCCCTCCCCTTCCTGCCTCCCTCCTTGGCTCCTCTCCTTCTACCTCCTCCTCCTCCTCCTCCTCCTCCTCCTCCTACCTCCTCCTCCTCCTCCTCCTCCTCCTCCTCCTCCTACCTCCTCCTCCTCCTCCTCTCTTCTACCTCCTACCTCCTCCTCCTCCTCCTCCTCCTCCTCCTCCTCCCTCATTTCGCTACTCCTCCTACCTCCTACCTCCTACCTCCTCCTCCTCCTCCTCCACCTCCGATACCTCCTATACCTCCTCCTCCTGGTCCTCTTCCTCCCTCCTCTTTCCGACCTCCCTGACTCCTTCTCCCTCCTCCTGCTGGTTCCCCCTTCCTCTTGCTCGTGACCCTCCACCTCATTATCCTCCAGCCGCTCCTCGCATGTATCCTTGACGAGTATACACAGGCATACGCACATGCTCGCATACACAGACACACAGACACACAGACACACATACACACATACACACATACATACGTACAGCATACATACATACATACATACATACATACATACATACATACATACATACATACATACATACATACATACATACATACATACATACATGCATACATACATACATACATACATACATACATACATACATTTGTATAAGCTTGCTGACTAATGATATGCTGAAGACCGAAACACGCCGTCAACACCGATCCGTAGTTTTTCCTGGCTCGAGCCCCCCCCTCCCCGGGGGGCAGGGGGGAAACGGGCCAGGGGCCCTTGATGCTGGGGCAGCTTGCCCGGGCCGCCGTGCTGGGGGTGGCCTGCCTGGGCGGCGCGTGGCTGGGGAGGTGCCGGTCGCCGCCGTGCCCGGCATCGCCGCCCCGCCCGCCGGCGGCGACTTGCACGTGTCCGCCAGCGCCGGCGGTCTCGCGCCCGCAGGTGAGCGTCACCTGCCCGGCGGTGCCGGCCGCGGAGGCCCGCGCCTGCCCCCAGGCGCCGGCGGCACCGGTGTGCCCGCCGCCGCCCGAGAGCCCGCAGGGCACGTCCAGGGCGGAGGTCGCCGAGTCGCCAGGCCGGCAGGACCTGTCGCCGGATGGTAACATGTACCTCGAGGACTTCAGCGACGCCGTGGCCGTGCGATGTCTGGGGCCGAACAACGAGGTGCCGGAGAGGGTACCTCGGAACCTGATCTATGACTTCGATCAGCCCCCGTCGGCGGGGACGCTGCGCAAACGGATGCAGGAGGGAGCCTACGCCGCCGGGCTAGAGGACCAGCGCCGCGGTTACGGCATCGCCGTGAGGGGAGCTGGAGGCGCCGCTGGGGCCGCGAGCGCCGCTGGCGCCAAGCCGGCCGCGGCTCAGGCCGGCGGCGCTGGCCGTGTGGCGGCGGGAGCGCCCGCTTACGTGCCGGCCCAGCCGCCCGCGCCGGGGGCTCCCGGCGAGGGCGAGGACGGTGGGCCGGGCCCGGCGGCGCTCCAGGGCCACGAGTGCGTCAGCCGCGACGTCCGCCCGCCAGCGGGGCCGGCGGTGCAGCCGGTGACGGTCGACACGGTGCGCTGGGTGGCGGCCGCGAGCGTGGTGTACCCTGGAGGTAGCGTGGATCGAGGGGACGACGAGGCGATCAGCGGGTCGGAGATGGTGTCGGGCCGCAAGGGAGTGATCGTGTTGATGGGGGTATCCGTGCTGATGGGGGACGTCGGCGACGGCGATGTGGAGGTGTACAGGTCGAGGGAGGCCCATCATGACGCGAGGCTGCTGAAGATGCAGAGGGACTCTCGAGGTGACGGCCACCGCCCCTGGCGCGACGTCACGCGCGGTGTGAGCGCGGTGAAGCAGACGGACTGGCCCTCGTCGGGCCCGCAGACGACGGAGTGGTGCACAAGGTCCCTTGACCGTCGGAGTGAGGGGCCCGTGGGCTGGAGTCGGCGCTGGCGAGCCGACAGCAGGCTGGCCATGGACCAGTGGGGCGTATCCGAGCACGAGACGCTGGCGAAGGCCCTCGAGCGCTTGGGGACCCCCGACCAGTATGACGTGGTGAACGTGGCGGCGGCGGAGTACATCGAGCGACGGATGCGGCTCATCGAGTGCTTCTACTACGAGGTCTGCTGGCAGGCGGACGGCAGCAAGCATCAGGACAGGAAGGGCGGCAAGGGCGTGCGCCTGGAGGAGATGGCTGACCTCTCCGGGAAGCCGCGCGAGGACGGAGAGGTGATGGTGGCGCCGGAGCTGCTGTCCTACTTCGCCACCGAGCTGGAGCGGGACTCTGGCATCAGGAAGCAGATGAGGGAAGCCCGCGAGGGACGGCGACTCGCGGGCAAGCATGACCAGTGAATGGGGCCGCCGTGGGAACCCCCGATCCCACGGCGAGTATGCAGGGGGGCCGCTGGACATGAGCCCCGGCGCGTCCTTTGCACGTGGCTCACGCGAGGGCAGGGTCGTCAATCGTGATCTTCTTCCCTTGCCTCGCTACCGCCTGCCGAGCATGGGCAGCGACGATGGCGGTCAGCCAAAGTCTCGTCGGGGGCAGCGCCGCCGAGGGGAGCGAGCTCATTGCGAAGACTGGGCTCGCTGCTGCGCGATCACGCTGAACGAGCTCGACCGCGGGTCTGCTGATCCGCATCCTCAGGGACAGCGGGCCAGTGCTGGGCAGGAGCGCAGCTTGGGCATGATCCAGGCTGCGGTAGCTGAGCTCGGACGGCCGCCCGCCGACCTGACTCGCCAGGGAGCCCTCGCGGAGCTCCTGGCCAAGCGCAGCTACACCGGCGAGAAGGTGTCTGTCGCTCGGCTCGACATTTCTCTCTTGTCCCTGCCTGCTGGTGGGGACGGTCCTCGAGCGCTGACAACCTTGCTCGGGGATGAGGGCCCAATGGTAGTCGATGCCTTCTTGAGAGACAAAGTCTTGCCTCCATCGGAGGCGGCGGCGCGGGTGGCCGAGTCGGCCTTGAAGCGTCCGTACTACGATCCTTCGCTGCAGGGGAGGCCGCGCCGGTATGCGCGCCTCCTCGCGGCCCTTGACGGCGCAGGCATGCTCGAGTGGAGGCGGCACGGATCGCCCCGAGTAGGCTTGTTTACTGTTTGGAAAAAGAACGGCAAGCAAATATTGATTGTCGACGCTCGGTTGTCTAACTTGTGCTTCGCTTCTCCTGATTCTGTCGACCTTGCCACAGGCGGATCTTTCGCGTCCCTCGAGGTTGACCCTGGGCCCCCAGTGTGCCTTGCTCAGGTCGACATCCAGGATGCCTTTTACCACCTCCTCCTCCCTCCTGAGCTCGTCCCCTTTTTCTGTCTCCGCCCTGTCACCGCTGGGCTCGCCGGAGTCGTTGAGCTCGACGGCGCCCCTGTCTCTCCGACCCAGCTCGTGTACCCACACCTGCGTGTTGTGCCGATGGGGTGGAATCACGCCTTGTGGTGGTGCCAGCGAATTCATGAATTTCATGCCTTTCGGCAGCCCGGCGTGTCCCTCTCTAACAAGCTCTCGGATAAGAAACCCGGGGCGCGTCTGGGCCGCTCGGGTTTGCTCACACTGAATACGTAGACAACTTCGCGGCCATCGGGCGCCAGGCCAAGGAGGTCGACGCTGTGGCCGATTCCGTTTTAGACGCCCTGACCGCCGCTGGGCTCAGCATGCATCCTCGTGAGAGCTCACTCGGCGGGTCCGTCTTGGGATGGGAATTCAGCGACGAGTGCCCTCAGGTTCGTGTGAGCCCTCGCAGAGTGTGGAGACTCCGACTCGGCATTGAGGGGCTCCTAGAGAAGGGCTTTGCTACGGGCAGGGACCTCGAGGCCATCATAGGACATTTCACGTTCGCCGCTCGAATTCGGCCAGAGGCCCTGTGTGTGTTCTCTGCTGCGTACGCCTTCAGTCAGCGGGGGGCCGACACTCGCCGTAGGTTGTGGACTGCCGTGCGAAGGGAGCTTCGTTGGGCAATAGGTCTCCTCCCCCTCCTCCGTCGTCGCCTCGATGCCGTTTGGAGCTCAAAGGTGCGGTGTACAGACGCTCCCCCCTGGGGTCGTGGTGTTTGCTTGGCTGAGCGTGACCCTCAGTCCATCGCGGAGGCTGGCCGGTGGTCGGACCGGTGGCGCTTCTCGCGAGGGGCCGAGGATCGCGTTCGGCCGAGAGACGCCTCGCTCCGGGAGGAGCTGAACTTAGCCGCGGCGGCCGGTCTGGACGACCTGGATCGCGTCGGGACGGCTCGGCACCTGGAAGCCCTCGGCGAGGTGGATCGGAGCGGGGCCGTCCCGGAGATCGGGCCCGAAATCCTTCAGGGATCCTGGGCCACCGTTTCGGCCGGTCGCTGGAAGCGTCGGGAGGCGATGCCCATCTTGGAAGGGCGCGCTCTGGTCGGGGGGGTCCGGCATGTGAGCCGGGGTTTAAGCGAGTTTGGCAAGCGGATCCTTTTTCTGACCGACGGGTTGTCCGAGGTCCTGGCCCTTGAGAAGGGCCGATCATCGAGCGTGGCCCTGATGAGAGTGTGCAGGCAGTGGGCGGCGACGGTGTTTGCGGCCGATCTGTATCCTCGGGTTCGGTGGATTCGGTCTGAGTTGAATGTGGCCGACGAGTCTTCTCGCCGCTATCAGCCGAAGCCATTTGGGCTCAAACCTGGGTGCTTTCGGCCTCCGCCAGGTCTGCCTGAGCCGGATGACGACCGGCCTCCCGCGGCCACTCGCAGGTGCCCCGATCCCGTCGGCCCCGTGGGATGCGGTCCTGGCGACCGACAGCCTGGTGAGGCCGGGCGGGACTGCGGAGCGGCGACCCGTCCAGGGCGAGCCGCCGTCCCTGTGGCGAGCGGCGGCGCTGCCACAGGCTGGTGCGCGACCGCGCCCACCCCATGGGCGGGCCCGGGCAAGGGCAGCGGCGAGACAAGCCAAGCCTCGGCCCGAGGAGCTGGCCACGAGGGGGGAGCGCGCCGCTGCCCGGCAAACGAGTTTCCCCGTGGACAAGCGGGTGACAGTCAGCGAGGGCCTCTCGCTGCTCGAGAGGGAGAGCGCGGGCGACCACGACCAGCGGGTCTACCAGTCGGCGCTCGTGGAGTTCAGGATCTTCTCCGAGACCCTGGGCCTGCGCCTCGAGACCGCTCAGGACTACGACGAGGCAGCCGTGGAGTGGACCTACCCCGCTGTCTTCGACGGCAGCGACGCGCTGGAGGGGACAAGGCTCAAGGCGCGGCTGCTGTACTACTACCCGCGGCTCCTGTCCGTGGCTGGGCTGCCCCAGTTCAGCCGGGCGCTGAGGGGGTGGAGGCGGCTGGGGTCGCCGCGGAGCCAGCTGCCGCTGCCGGGGGAGGTCGCCTGCGCGGTGGCCCACAGGCTCGCGGCAAACCAGGACCTGCACGCCGCCCGCCTCGTCTTTGTGAGTTTCGTGTTCGGCCTGCAGCCCGCGGAGCTGATGTCGCTGACCGGGCGGCGAGTGGTGCCGCCGGCGCGGGCGGCCGGCCACGCCGCGTGGTCGCTCGTGCCGTTTCCGATGGAGGAGGAGACGCCCAGCAAGGACGGCGCCTTCAACGAGAGCGTGCTGGGCGACCTGCCGTTCTGCCACCTCATCGGGGACGTGCTGAAGCCGCTCGAGGCCGGCGTCAACGACAGGGACCTCGCGGCGCAGGCGCGGTACGTGCAGCTGGCGCAGGCGTTCGGCACGGCGGACCAGCACCTCGGCCTCGAGGGCCCGTCGGGCCTGTACCAGCTGCAACACGGCGGAGCGCCCGTCGACCTGGCCAGCTACCGCCGCAGCATCGCGGAGGTGAGGGCTCGCAGCCGCTGGGCAAGCGACAGCTCGGTGACGGGGTACGGCAAAGGGGGCCGCGTCGCCGACCAGCTGATCAAGTTGCCACCGCCGTTCCTCGACCACGCCATCGTCCGCGCCAAGAAGAATGGCGACATCCTCTGCGAGCACTGCCGGCCTTTGCCGCCCGTGCGGGCGGGGCCGTAGCGCTCGAGGTGTTCAGCGGCTCCGGCAACTTCAGCCGGGCCTGGCGACGGCGGCAGCGCGCTCTGGGCTATGCTATTTTCGAGTGGGACATCCGCTGGGGAGAGGAGTATGACCTCACTCGCCAGCGGGCGCAGCGCCTGGTGCGAGGCTGGGTCAACAACGGGCTGATTGCTGCCGTCTGGCTGGGCACCCCTTGCCACAGCTGGAGCCGAGCACGGGACATTCGACCAGGGCCTCCGCCCTTGCGAAGTGACCTGCACGTGATGGGGTTGCCCGACCTAGCGCCCCGTGACGCTGAGAAGGTTAGGATCGGCAACGCCCTCATGAAGTTTTCAGCCTCGCTATTTTCTTTGTGCCAAGCCGTGCGCGTGCCAGTAGCTATTGAGAATCCTCACATGTCTAGAATTTGGCTGACGTCTCAATTCAGGAGATTGCAAAGAAAATGCCGCTCTGTCGCGTTAGACTTTTGTCAATTCGGCCAGTCGTGCCGAAAGCGCACTCGCATCATATACGATCATGTGGACCTCCAACCTTTACATCGCCTCTGTCGTGGCCCCCGCGGGATCTGCTCCCGCACGGGCCGCCCTCATGATCAGTTGCAGGGCAAAAATGCAGACGGCATTTTTCACGCGCTCTTGGCCGAATCTTACCCAGCTGATTTGCGCACTAGCATCGTCCGTTGCTTCCAGCTGGCGCTTGCAGAAAAGAAAGTTCAGCGAGTACAGACAATTTGGTGCGGCTGAAGCCAGTGGCGTTTTTGGAGAGAAGACGTTCTATGCAAAAAGAGCTGGTGCCCGCTTAGCTTTGAAGTTAAGCGCTGCCTCGAGCTCGAGTCTGTGTGATCTGTGATTGCAAAGTCGGAAGACTTGTCGACACCAGAGATAGCATCGCTTCGCACGCCTGGCGGAAAATGGACTGGGCGTTTCATTTGTATAAGCTTGCTGATTAATGATATGCTGAAGACCGAAACACGCCGTCAACACCGATCCGTAGTTTTTCCTGGCCAACCGTCTGCCCCACCGCCGCCCTCTCCTTTTTAAATTGCAGAACGAACCAAGTGATCAGGTGCCCGCTTAGCTTTGAAGTTAAGCGCTGCCTCGAGCTCGAGTCTGTGTGATTTGTGATTGCACAGTCGGAAGACTTGTCGACACCAGAGATAGCATCGATTCGCACGCCTGGCGGAAAATGGGCTGGGCGTTTCATACATATATACATAGATACATACACGTAAATGCACACATACATGCATCTATCCGTCCATCCATCCATACATACATGCATACATACATGTATACATGCACGCGCAGATACAGACACACATGGATACCTAATATTCATACAAACACACATACATGCATGCATGCATGCATGCATGCATGCAGTCATACATGCATCCATGCGTGCATGCGTGACCACATATACATACCTACAGCCATGGATGCATCCATATCTAGTACATACACATACATTCATATTATATGCACAGACGTATATGTGTACATACACACATACACACATACAACCATATATACACGCACGAATACATACATACATTCATACATACCTATACGCATCCACATATACATACATACATGCAGACGCACACGCATACATACGTACATGCATACATGCACATATACATGCATACATACACATACATTGCCACACACATGTTGGTATACCTACGTACCTGCCTAGCTGCATACATGCATATGTACATGCATACTTCCATGTATACACATACACTCACACACGTACACACATAATTACCTACACACACGCATGATACGTATATTCACACGTGCATGCATTCATACCTACATGCTCATACATGCATGCAACCATCCATACATACACACAGGCGCACACGCATACATACATTCTTGCATACAGACATACATACTTTACATACACACATTCATACATGTATACAGTCATACGTGCACATACGCATATTTACATTCATGCAGTCATGCATGTATGCATGCATGTATACAGACATGCAGGCATATAAGAACGCACACACGCATACACACAACAATACATACATACATCTATACATACACGCATACATACACACATACATACATACCTACATACATACATCCATACATACACTTGTATAAACTACTCTATCGTTATATATATGTGTGTGTGAAGGTATGTGGGTTCACCTGCCGACGCAAGGAAGCATATGCTTGCATTGAAGCGTCGACGGGAAGAGAGAAGGGAATACGGAAAGGATGGGGCGGGCCGAGAGTGCGGCGTCGAAGCGCGCGCGGGGAGCGAGAGAGTGAGTGGTTTCTGAATCGACAGTGGAGGGAGGAAATGTAGAGGGGATGCAATAAGGTACACTGGGAGGAGAGGGAGGATTCAGGCGATCGCGAACATGGATCGAAGGGGCGTGGATTAGCGACGGGTCCTGTTTCAATGGGAAATCGCGGATCTCCGCCGCGAAGCGCGGCGGCGCGGGCCGTATTTTGGGGAGGGCACCTCCCCCGGTCCATGGATGCTGCGACCACGCGCCAAATCCATGGATCGCTAGTCCATGTTTGCGCGCCCCTGAAAAGAGAGGGGAGGCGAAGAGGGGAAGGAGAAGAGGCACGGGGGTGCGAGGAGACGGAAGGGGGGGGGTGTCGAGGGGAAGGGACGGGCACTTGACATGGAGGCACACTGTCCTGAGTCCTGCATGGGAGCACTCAAGGCTTTGAAATGGGCCGAGCCCGTTCGGACACCTTGGGAATTCCTCCGCACATGTGGGGTCCCTGTCACTAATGCTGGTCAAGATCTATGTCATGTGCTCTCCGATCGATTTCCTCAAGCCGTCGCCAATGCTCTTGTTGTCCTGTATATCAGTTGTTGGGTCGTTGGTTTTGCTGGCCGACTCCGTCATTTCCATGAATCGCAGATGTCTTTGCTCTCTTGGA